ATGATCAGACCAAAACGTGATGTCATGTTGCAATGCTTCAATATGCAGAACCACTCCTGCTAGTTCATGAATCAAGAGTTTTCTATTTTTCATATAATAATAGCTACACACAAAGTTAATACTAAACTACTCAGGTAGCAAGCTACGTCATTTTGACGTCAAATGACGTCTTTTTGACGTCAAATGACGTCTTTTTGACGTCAAATGACGTCATTTTGACGTCAGCTTGCTACCAGGATAGTTGTTGTATAGCTTATGTTAACATGGGTTTTATCGCAATAATTTACTAAAACCGTTAATAAATCAAACTAATCAAGACTCCTTACAAATCAAAGAATTGGAAAGAGTAAGGGCACTAGGAGTTGGGCGCAGAAGACGTTGCGCAAATAATACACTTATAAAGAGTGAAACTTCTTTATTCACAAAACGCGCTTACATGTTTCGACTCATTTTTTAGCCTTCCTCAGAGCAAACACACATTAACATATATAAAGCAAAAATTATCCTATCATGGTGAGCTCCCCTACATCGAGAATTTAAATGCCAGAATTAAAATGCCAGATTTTTCATTTTCTTTTCTTTCTTTTTATTTAATTCTGGCATTTAAATTCTCGATGTAGGGGAGCTCACCATGATAGGATAATTTTTGCTTTATATATGTTAACGTGTGTTTGCTCTGAGGAAGGCTCAAAAATGAGTCGAAACATGTAAGCGCGTTTAGTGAATAAAGAAGTTTCATTCTTTATAAGTGTATTATTTGCGCAACGTCTTCTGCACCCGACTCCTAGTGCCCTTACTCTTTCCAATTCTTTAATTTACTAAAAGTTGAGAATCTTCCTGATCTGTTTTAATAAGATATTATGCTTTATGATGCTTGTTTAAGGCTCTGATACTGTCTTAAAAAGCAAGGATGAAATTAGGATTAAAGATAGAATGATTTTACATTACGCCAAAGGCAATATGTAATAACTTACGCATAATAGTAACTTAGTAGGTTTACTCTTACTAGCTAGCTTTTGTGTAAATCTTTTAAATATTGGGTGGAAGTCTAAGCTAGATCTTAGCTGGAGAGTTGATGAAACAATATATGAAGCATATATTATATAAGATACAAGGTAAGTGGGCTTATCTTTATTTATAGAGCTCTTGATGAATCTGGCAACACTAGACCTCTTTTGAAACCAGCTTCTGATAGAGAAGTGGTAGGAGATTTAGGTGCTTCAAGGATCTTTAGCGTATTTGAAATACATGAGGATCTAAAATGCGAAATCGACGCACCAATCCTCAACCAGGAAGCACGGGTTTCCAAAGAAGTCCACTATAGATTTTTATTTATCACAGACTAGTAATATTAATGCAGCTAAACGTTTTTAAGCAATGCCTTAAAATCTATACCAAGACATTTGCATCTAACAAGCATTAATGCTGATAAGAGCAAGTAAAAGGCAAGTACCTAGATTGAGAACACTGTCAAATTACATATTTCAACAATATAATTAAATCTGATCACGGCAAGTTAAAACGTTTAATTAAGATGACTCTTGGCTTTAAATCGATAAAAACAGCATATGCAACTATTAAAGGATTTGAATAATGCAAATGTTTAAAAGGAGAAAATTTAAACTACGTGGAAGTATGGTCAAGCTACTCAAGGGAAAATCAGAATTTTATTACAGACATACAGATAATTTATTAGAATGCTAAAATCTAACTTACACCTTGAGTTTCATTCTAGCTCCTTATATACACTCAACATTCTATTTAGAATTGAAGCTTATCATTAATAGCCTATATGAATGCATCTGGTAGCATTATATTATCTTCACAGCTTGCGAGTTCTTAACAAGGCGAGTCTACATAATCAGTATCGCAGATTGTACGTAGCTTTATTGTATGTGATGTACTATCTCGTGATACACACTGTACAGTCGCATGTTCAATATCATACTCTGGATACTAGTTAACCAATTCACTATAAGAATTAATCTCAAGATCACGCAAATGATGTTTGAGAATATCATCATAAAACTTACATAGTGAAAACACAGAAGAATGATAACAAAACATAATGTATCTCTTTTCTTATGAAATTTTAAAATCATTGATGGCACATTGTAATTTAATGCTTCTAGTATGTCAAACAAGTTGTAGTAAAGTAAAATTAAAGATTATTATAAAAGACGATTTATATATGGCTTTAGGCCATGTTGCACACGTTTGTTAACAGTTCATGGCTTCTCGTCTGAAATAGTGGTTATATTTTATGCTCTAAACAAATAAAAACTTATTCTATTTTATAGTGTTTTAGCTACACTACAGCACGCTCGAAGGGTTATATAGGTTTGGTTGGTTATTTGTGAGAAGGATAGTTGCATAAATGCAATAGCGTTTTAGCTATTTAATAAACTATATGCTCAATGTGTATACTTGTCATACTTAAAAAATTATATACAGCATAACATTATTCCTAGCTTTTTTGAAGCCTCTAACTTTATATGTTCATAATTAATAGCAACTCTTCATTTATCAGAGGTATGCGTAGGAGAAAAACTCTTTTATAAAAGAAAAACGATCAGGTGATTAATGCATTATTATTCTTTAAAACTGCAAGTGATGCACCATGTGACGTTATAATTCTACATATATCAGCCATGATTCTCTGCCTTATAATACAAAATTTTGCAAACTGTGTTTCATAAATTAAGCACTGTGTCAAAATGTTTAATCCATTTAATGTTGCTGAACTAAAGTTGACTATCATATCTAAGCTTTGGTCTATATCTTAGTTCTTAATAAGAGATTCTCGTATATCATTCACTATAGATTCAATTACAACATGATCTTCATGACGAATTATAATATTTTCTAAAATACGTCTATGTGACATTTTTGAAGCATTTTCAACTGTACATGTTGAAAATATAGAGTTTGGAATATATACGAGTCTCTTTTCATATGTTTTTATTTTAGTAACACGCCACCCTATTGCTTCTGCAGAGCCTTCTATGTCTGAGCCAATAATTTTGATGTTTTCTCCGACAACAAATGGCTTATCAAAATATATTAGTACAGTGCCAAATAAATTTGCTAAAAGGTCTTTTGCAGCAAAACCAACTGCAATCCCACTCATTCCACAAACGCTAACAATCCATTCACACTTATGCCAAAAGTTTGCATAAGCATTAGAAGGGCTACAATTATTACAATGACGCGCAGCACTTTTATTATTAAATCCGCACTTGCTAAATCCATATGAGATTTTTTATCCTTGAGCGAAAGCCTGTGGTGTTCAATCTATGTAATGAAATTGAGTAAAAACCAAGTTACTGCGGCAACAATAGCAATATCGCGCACCAACCATATAGAATTCAGAAAATCGTTACTTATGCTGATGTTTTTACTGAATATGTTAAGCAGTATAGAAATCAGAAAGAAAAAGTGCACAAACTGAATTGGTCGCTCAGCAGCAACTAATATTTTATGATACCAAGAATATTTTTGTGATTTATCTAATTTGGCAGCAAATCTGCTCTGCAGATGCTTTATTCCTTTATATGTATAAAGCATGACAATATATCCAACAGTACCGCATAGTAAAGTAATGACAATACAAGCAAAATATATGTTATGCTCAAATACTGTTGATATTTTGTTAAAAAGATTAGTGGTTATATCTATCATGTTAATTACTTATTATGCTGTATGTAATATACTAGCACTATAATTTAGTGTATGCTAAACAAAAAATCATGATATAAAATTATTTGTCATTTATATTAGTTATCGTATTGTATATATGATAGAAGAAACTGTAGGAACATGAGGTTCTCCTCTGTAATTAATAACATTGCTATAGCTTTGATTGCACGTTTTCATAGTCTTGTCGCATCCAGCATGAAGCTCAAACTTATCTTTTAAAGAAATGTTATGATATGTTGGAATGCATAATGTAATCTTGTTGTGAGGCAGTAATCTTATCTCAGAGATGAAACCACAGTTGCTGCCCTCAATAAATTTCACATATCCATGTTTATGTACATCAGTCGTACCCGATATGGAGCTATAAGTAAATGCAGAGTTGCTTTCAACAGCAGTAACCTTACACATCAACATATAGCGCATTTGATCTACTTCACATCTTGAATCTCCAAGATTTGCTCTGCACATTGCAGAATATATTTCTCCGTTTGTGTTCGAGAATGCCTGCGTTAAGCCACGCACTTCTGCTACGAATTTGTTCTTGCTGGCTCTGACTTCTCCTATCCAGCCTCTTTTTACCTGAAATTTTCCAGCACTAAAATCACTATAATCCACCAGAAATATAAAAACTTCAGCGTTGTCATATCTTCCTCTCAAAATATCATCTATGCTGATTGATTCATCGCTAAGCATGCCGTATATATCGCAGTTATCAGGTGCTAAATTATTTTTTGCAGAAATTACACTGCGAGAAAATCCGCTTTCTTTTCTATAAAGCACTCCATCTATCAAAATATCTTCTTTATATTCAGTAAAAAATAACTTCATTATATTAAAAAAAAAATGATAGTTCCATCTTTTAACTTAAGTTGAATGCAAGTTGTAAGTGTTATAACTTCATCAATAGCTTTTTGCTCAAGGAATGTATGATATTTTTTCATGTATAAGTTCTCCAATATTAGTTGTCATATGGGAAAATCTTGATAGAATGCTCAAATAATCTTTGTACAATGTCACTCTATGACATATTTCATGTTTTTGTATGCAATTTAATCCGTCTATTACTATTACTTTTTGCTATTTGTCATGGAAAAAAAAATATAATAAACCATAAAGCTCTTCTTTTGATATTTATATTCGGTATATGTTTATGGTTCATGCCATGGCATGCAGGTTTAGAGCTAAAATCCTGGAATTTATCGATGACATTTTTGACCACTATTATTGCGGTAATATTTAATCCTGCTCCAATGAGCATTCTTAGTATGATTGCAATAACAACATGTATTCTAACTTATACGATGTCAGTCAGGGAGACGCTGCAGGGGTTTGGTGAGGATATAGTGTGGTTGGTTGTGTTCGCATTCTTTATATCTAGAGCTATTATCAAGTCAAATTTGAGCAAGAGAATAGCTTACTTTTTAATATCAAAGTTAGGTTCTAGCACAATTGGTCTATCATATAGTCTGATTTTAACAGAATTATTAATAGCGCCAGTTATACCAAGTGCAACAGCTAGAGGTGGGGCTATTATATTTCCTATTGCTCGTGCTATCAGTGATCAATACTCATGTGATACTAAAAATGTCAGCAATCCAGAATTAATTAAACAGTTCTTGATGAAGATATGCTTTCAATCTAATGTTATAACGAGTGCCATGTTTTTAACTGCAATGTTCGGTAATCCATTCATAGCCAAATTAGCGCGCGGCGTTGGTGTGGAATTAGATTGGATTACATGGGCAAAGGCTGCTTTCATCCCTGGTCTATTGAGTCTTATATTGTTGCCGTTCATAATAATGTATGTAATAAAACCACATATAGGATCTTGTAATGAAGCTATAAAATCAGCAAAGCATGCTTTAAAGGAAATGGGAAAAATCTCCACTGGAGAAATAGTTGTTTTGTGCACTTTTGTACTTCTGTTAGGACTTTGGATGTTTGGTTATAATATTGGCATTAACTCAACAGCTACTGCGTTATTGGATTGTGTGATCTTAGTATTATGTGGTGTGATTACACTAGACGATATAATTCAAGAGAAAGGAGCTTGGGATACTTTTATATGGTTTGGAATATTTGTAACTTTATCAAGTGCGTTAAGCGGATCTGGTGTTATGGGTAGAATCAGTAAGTACGCAGAAACTGTAGTGTACGGTTTTAATCCATATATTGCAGCTGCTTGTCTAATTATTGTGTTTTTCTATATGCACTATTTCTTCGCAAGCATTACAGTATATGCAACCGTGATGTATACAACTTTTGCAATTTTACTGATACATTTAGGAATATATCCCGTAGCAGCATGTTTAATACTTGCATTGCTTGCAAATGTTTCGGCATGTTTAACACATTACGGTATAACAAGTGATCCTATATTTTTTAATGGCAGTGGAATGAGCGTTGGTAGATGGCTAAGTATAAGATTGTTAAGTAGTGTTATTAACATAAGCATATGAGTTACTTCTACTGTATTGTTATGGGATAAACTTGGTATAAAGCTCCTGCAGTAGTATATTCGTCATACTTCAAAATTTGCGTTATTAGAATGCTCCTTACGTATTTTGTTTATAGCTAAAGCGCCTGTAATGAGTATGGTAAACGAATATCTTAGAATAGACCTCTTTCGAAACTAGCTCTGGCAAAGAAGTGATAGAAGATTTAGATACCCAGGACCCGAGTATATTTGATATACATGAGGAGCTAAAATGTGAAACCGATGCACCAATTCTCAAAAAGAAGCATGAGTTCCCAAAGAGGTCTATTTGTTGAGGATATTGATAGATTGTTTGGTTCTCAAGATAATTCAATGCTTAAAGTTCAATACGCTTTGATATATAATCAGCCTCATTTGTAAAGGCTATGCAGTTAAATCTTAAAGATTCTAATATAGCTAAAGCATGTGTAAATAGGTATGATAAACTAGTATTTTAAAAGAAATTTTTATTCGTTTGTAGCTAATATAGCTATTTTCTGGTTAAAAGCTGAATTTGTCAAAAAGGCAATGTTTAGCATGTAAATTTACAAGCGCTTTAGCTATGCTGCAAATAAAGCATATTTATATAGAGATAATAAAAATCTATAGAACTGATAATATATTTTGGCTCTGCTTTCAAAAAGATTGAAGATGTTTTTCTTATATTTATTTGCTTATTTATGTATATGACTGCGTTTTTCTCGAAAAGATTCGTTGTGCAATCATGTTTGCAGATTTTTATTAAGTGATCTCTAATTCTTTGTGGTTGTTTTGCAAGTTCCGTGTATATACTTGTTAAACGAAGAATTGGTATTTAACTTAAGTACATACGAAGTTAGACTTTCAAAAAGAGCTAGGAATAATAGTGCTAAAAGTAACATGAGAAATACATAAGGGGCATTAGACCTGCTCTATTTTACCGAAGCAAATTTTTGAAGTATGACGAGTATACCGTATAAATTTGTATAGAATATAGACAGCAATAGATATTAAATAAATGGATATAAAAACTAACTCAAGTGTTATATATACAGCTGAAGAAATCAGAGATATAATTGTACAAAAGTTGGATGCAGATAAGGCTGAAGAGATACATGTCATAGATCTTAAAGGCAAGACAGATATAGCGCTTTATATGATCATTGCATCTGAGCTTTCTATGAGACATGTTAAATCTTTAGCTGATAATCTCTCGCAAGAATTAAAAAATCATATAAGTGACGATTTCAATATAGAGGGGCTTAACACAGGAAAGTGGGTTCTAATAGATGTGAAAGACGTTATTGTGCATATATTTCAACCAGAGATAAGATCGCAGTATGACATAGATAAGCTCTGGAATAACGACTGAAGAAGTCTGAAAGCCAAAGTGTTCTATCCATAATGAAGGGGTAATTCCGCTAATTTGAGCTTTTAACGGATGGACTTTCGTTGATAAAATTTATTTGGAATTAATGGATCACTTTACTGTGCCAGAAAACACGCGGATAATTTTTGTAAATTCGCATGCATCAAGGCTTGCGTTCCCCACAAGAACTCCGTCTATGCTATTGATGTCGCTTAGCATTTCAATATTTGTAGAATTAACAGATCCGCCGTATAAAAATTTGATTCCTGTATAATTATTTTTAATAACGGTTGCTACTTCATTTATATCGTTTGGAATGTTGCCAGAGCCAATAGACCACAATGGTTCATACGCTATTATAACATTACTAACGCTTTCTGCATTCAGCAGCTGAATCGAGCCTTGAAGTTGATCCAGAATTTCATTCATATAAGTTCCATCAATTCTATGAAGCATAGACTCGCCAATGCATATTATAGGAATTACACTGCTTTTCAGCAGTGAACATGCTTTTTTTGGGATAGATAGATCGGATTCGGAATTTTCGTTTCTGCACTCTGAGTGCCCAACTATTGAATATTTACAACCCAAATCAAAGAGCATACGAGAGTTTATCTGCCCAGTATATGGACCAAATTCAAAATGTTCAGAAACATTCTGTGCTCCAAGCGCAAATCTCTGTGATGACTCAAATGAATTGTTTGAGTCATCGTAAGCGGTTTTTAAGGAACATGGATTCGCGGTAGTAATTTCTGAATTCTCGTTGTGAAACGTGCGATGTGCTGGATTGCAGTCACTGTAGTAAGAAGAGAGCTTGTAACATCCGGCTTCTTCTTCTTCTAATATTTAAGTGGCCCAGGTTCCGGCGATAGTGAAGACTGGATAAACGTGGCCAATCTTTTCCTAAACCCCTTCAGCGTTCAAATAAGCAGGAAAGGGTGTCGCAGAGCTATGGCGAGATGTCTATCGCCTTGAAAAAAGAAGATAGTAGACGGCATAACTTGGATGATGGTTGCTCGAGTATGGGAAAGATGTCACTAGAGCATGACGGCAAGGATTCCTTAAGGTGCTTACACAAAGGACCAAATTTATCTCTAGTGCAAGGGCAATAAAATATTATGTGGTTGGCATCCTGCCTAGGGTCCCCACAAGGGCACGATGGAGAATCCACTATATTTTTCCTGTGTAAACTGTAATTTAGGTTGTAGTGATTGGATCTCAGTCTATTGACCAGCACTATCTCCCTCCTGTTCAAAGCTAATTTGTGATACCATGGGGTGGGTTTAATCGGAAAGAGCTCTGCATATTGTGCTCCAGTACACAATGCTTTTTGATCAAGGAAGTTATTAAATCGGCGTTTAAAGTTGGCGCGTGCTTCCGCTTGGGTGTCCGTGAAGGGGGTTTTGAAGCATCCTCTAGGGCCCGATGAACATGCCTCTTTAGCTGCTCTGTCTGCAACCTCGTTGCCTGGGATGCCTTTATGTGCAGGAATCCAATATAGCTGACAATCAATTCCTTCAGATTCCAGCTTAAGTAATGTTTGCTTGATTCTGTGGATGATGTAGTTCCCACTGATGATTCTGGCTGAGCTGATAGCCTCCAGTACACTACGTGAATCCGAAAAAATGATCACCCTCGTCGATCCTGCGTCCAATGCAATAACTAGGGTCTGTAGAATGGCCCATGCCTCCGCCGTGAACACCGAGGCACTAGTAGTAAGTTTGTATTTAAAGCAGCCTCCCAGTTCCGGGGAGAAGGTCGCAGCGCCAGCGCATCCGTCCTCTGAGATTCTAGATCCATCCGTGTAAAAAGTAAGCGCTCCTGCACTAAGGTCAGGTAGTTTGCTGAGGAATTCTTGAGTGATTTCTTGGTTACTACGGCCTTTAACTCTTATTATGACTTCCCCGAATTTCTTGCGGAATATAAGGGATAAATAGTCGCGCTCAAAAGCCGGAAGAAACAAAGATCTGTGTAATTCGGGTAATTCACATTTATTAAAGCAGAAGTTTCTAAAGGACAAAGATTTGTTTAACGCATATGCTTTATATGAAGTGGTACGAGCCGCGTTTTCTAAGCGTTCGAGGCTATGCATAACAGGAAGGTTTATTTTAGACATACATTTTAATACAAAGTTTGCGCTCAGGAGGTCGAATCTAAGTTTAAGAGGCAGCTCTTTGGTTTCACACAAAATGACATTAATGGGCGTAGACTGTCTGTATCCCATGGCTATTCTAATCGCCCTGTATTGGAGTCTTTCAAGTTGTAGAAAAAGGTTGGAGTTTCTATGCCACGTGAAAATCTGACAGGCGTACTCTATGGCACCCCTGAACACCGCTCTGTAAATACTAAGAAGGCACTGGGGGTGAGACCCCCACCACACAGCCGCAAGCGATGAGATGATCTGTACAATAGCTCTGCCTTTCTTAATCAGGGACTTGAAGTGAGATGAGCCCTTCATCCTGCAGTCCATGATCACGCCCAGAAATCTTGCCTGCTCCACCTTAGGGATCTCTTGGTGGGAGATAGAGAGAGGGATGCCTACTGCTCTTGATTTTTGCTTTTTATGAGAGAAGACCATCCATTTGGACTTTGCAGGCGAGAGCTCCAAGCCTCTCTCCCTCAGGAACTCCTCAACCTTGTTCAAAGAGAGTTGTAGACTTCGTTGCGCGTCCGCCGGATTGGTAGCAGACGCGTATATGACAATATCGTCCGCATATTGAAGAAACTCCGTTCCCTCGGACATACACCCATCGATTTTTCTTAGCGCCAAACTAAAGAGTAGCGGGCTCAGTGCTGAGCCCTGTGGAGTGCCCTTATATGCGAAGTTCTTGTCACTAGTAACGCCATCCTCTATGAAATGAACAGTTCTGCAGGAGATCAAGTTTTCCACGAACTTCCTGATGCTTGCCGGGGCGCCTATAGCTTTCAGTTCGTTTAAGACTGCCAAAGGGTGAATGTTATCAAACGCTCCGGTGATGTCCAGAAAAACAGCTACCACCACATCACCGCCGATGAATGACGCATGGATGTTATTGGAAAAGGTAGTTAAGCTTTCCACGCATGATCGTCCAGGACGGAACCCCATTTGCTCCTGGGGTAGAAGTGATTTATGCTCCGTAAGCCACAACAGCCTCCAGTAGACTATCTTCTCCATAAGTTTGAGCGTGCATGAGAGCAGGGATATAGGTCTCATACCAGAATTATCCGACTTAGGGATAAAAATTACTAATGCGATTTTCCATTCTTCCGGGATGATTCCCTTTGCTAGAAAACTGTTGAAAAGCTCCAATAAGAGATTCTTGAATTCGTTGGAGAGATTGTTGATGATATTATAGCCAATGCGATCCAAGCCCGGGGCCGATTTCTTGTTGGAATGACTAATGGCTAAATCAAGTTCGTTGTATGTAATAGGAAAGTCAATATTCTCTATCGTAGAATCGCCACTGAGGTCATCTTGTTTCATCTCTTCTAAACTTCTGGTGAAATCCTGAAAGCAAGAAGGGGGGCATAGCTTCTGTTTAGCTAATTCCAGATTTTTCCTCTCCTCAAGCGGATCGTAATTGCGGTTAGAAGCCTGAGCCAAATTACGGCGCTTAAAAGATTTGATTAGCGACCAAATTTCAGCCGTGGGTGTTTTACAAGTGAATGATTCCACATACCGTCTCCAACCCTTTTTTTTCTCCTTGTATAATACTTTAGAGCACTTTGCTCTTGCTTTTTTAAAAGCCATAAAACTCTCAATCGTGGATTTCCTTTGCCAGCGTTTGGCCGCCTCCCTGCGAATAACAACAGCCCTCTGGCATGCCTCCGTCCACCACGGAGGAGAAGCGCGCCCGTTGGGTTGAGAGATGGTGCGTGGTTCTTTATGTTTGCTGTTGCTACATTCTGATGCAAGGCTGACCAGGTGATTTGTTAATTTGGTGTAGTTCTCACATTCATTGTCACCAAGCGAGCTAAGAAAAGATTCGGCTGTAGCATCCAGGGCTTTCTGAAATTCAATAAGTTCTTTGGAATCTAGACGTATACGATATAGGTATCGCTTTTTTGAATTAAGACTTCTCCCTTTAGTCGTAACAGGGTAATGATCACTGCCGTAAGTGTCATCATTTGTACAGACCTCACAGAGAGGAGCAACGCCGGATGTGGTTATGTCAATGACCGAGGTTCTTGAGCCAGGCGGAAGCAAAAGAGTAGGCTTCTCGTCGCTCATTATGCATCCGTTAATGCCCTCCACTGCATCTAATAGCGACCTTCCTGCCTTGTCCGTGGTCGAGCACCCCCATGCGGAGTGATGAGCATTGAAGTCTCCAACCAGGATACAGTTCTTTTGAGCCTCTCCGAATTGCAGAAAATCCGCGTAGAAATGGGGGCTGATTCTGCGGTTGGGGTGACAATATACATTCATGATAGCGATGCTGTCATCATCTGATATAACCTTGATGGCTTGTAGCTCGACGTCCTCATGTTGTAAATGTGATGAGTCAATTGTGCTAAAAACAATATTATTTCTTATTAAAATGCAAATGCCTCTCATACCTGAGTTGCTGATGTCCGCTCTAATAACGTGAAATCCTCTGAGGACAAAGTTCGTCGAAGGATACATCAAAGATTCCTGAACACAGATAATATCGTAATCATTACAGATCCTCTGCAAAATGGGTAGCTTGCCACGCAGCCCACAGCAATTCCACTGTAGGATGCTAAACGACCGTGAAGCCTTCTTATTGTTGGTGAAGAGGGCTGTATGATGCTGATGTACCAGTGGAGTCAAATAAGTTGCTTGCTTTTAATCCAGAAAAGAGACTGAAAATAGACCCCAGATTGAAATTAGAGCTGTTAAACATAGTCGCTAATCTTTGTAAAAATTCAATGATGAGATCGATGAACGATGTGAACTGTTGGATGTTAAGGAGACTTCTGAGATTAATGAGGAAGTCCAGTATTTGATCCACAATGCCATTGCTCTCGTGATGCCAGTTTTGTCGCGAATACTCCTCTTGAGGTGAGCCTGACACATCATCATTAGTCCTGAGCGGGTGCTGGTTGTTAATATATGAGTGACCATTTGCTGATAGAAGAAGTTCCTTGTGTTTTTGCAACGTGGATGCGTATTTATTCGAGTTGTATGCCGGTTTGTTGGAATCACGAGCGTGAGAGGTGCACTCTGTTGGAAGGGTTTCCATACTAATAATTCTTGGTTTATTTGTAGGACGTGTAGAACGTGCTTGTGAAGATAAGATATCAGCATAGCTTCTTTTCTGAGGTGAGTCGTGCTCTCCTGGATCTTCATCCCTTAAGTTATAAAATCTGTTAGAAAATTTATCCCTGAAATGATCCCTGTCTTGTTGTGTAGATCTTGAAGAAATGTACGGAAAGTTCCGAAGATCTCTTTTGGTAGAATATCCGTTGTTAGCATTAATTATCTTTCTAGCCTCTACCTGAGGAATGTTTTCATACGCTGCCAGATTGAGTACTTCTTTGTATTTGCGAATGACAGGACAGTCAAATGATGTAGCTAGATGTTCCCCCTCACAGTTGATGCAAGTGTGTGGCAGGTCTTTGTTGGCGCACACCACCGTGCTTCCATGCTCTAGACCACAGTATAGGCATCTGGGCTTTGTATTCTTACAATCTTTTCCGATGTGGCCCACACGGTAGCACACATAGCATATTCTTACCTTGGGAATATATGGTTCAACGGGATAGAGGGCATTAAAGAGAACAATTTCTTTGGGAAGCGATTGACCCGCGAATTTAATACATAGCGTTCTTGAAGGTGTGTAGGTTGGTTGGTTATTGATGATTGTACGGCGATTAAGACGTTGAATGTCTATAATTTTTACATTGGTGCGGATATTTTCTTTGATACAGTCCAACGGCAATGACTGATCAACCCCCTTGATGATACCCGTTCTAAGTACGCGAAACGATGGTATGAATGCTCTTAATTTGTAGTTTTCAAAAGCGGGGTTAGAGACCATGCGATTAGCTGCCGTCGAGGATTTTACTTCAATGAGCGCTTTACCCGCGCCTAATCTTTTGATGCATATGATATCGTTGGGCGCAATCTCCGTTACAATGCGCGAAAGAACCGAAAAGTGAATAATAGAGTTTTTGTCCGAATAGACATACACCGCAAAGGGCGCCAAGTCATTTGCCGAATAGAAGTGTGTAGTTTTGTGTGGATTGACCCGCACCGATTGCGACGTATTAGCGGTTTCCGGTTCTTTTCCTTTGTCTGTCTCTTTGCCGCTCTTGTTGACTGGAGGGGATGCAGCTCTCGCCAATGAGCACGAGTCTACCAACTTAACCTTATTTGTGCGAGTGTCGGCATCGGTACTTGACATGCCGCGCTTTCTAGATAGCTGAGCGAATTCCTGGTCAATTTCCATGGGCAGAGGTTGATCCCCACTTTCCGATTGACATTCAACCTTAGTCGCCAAAGATTTCGCCTCTTTGAGGAGGCTGGCAAGCGAAGTGTCTATGGTATGAGCATCCAAGCTCCCCTCTCCTGAGAATTCATTGGCCTTCTGACGAAAGGAATTGGGATTGGAATTCAGATGATGCGAAGTCGTAACAGGGGATCGCGACCCGTTCCCGGAAGGGTTAACAGAATCGGAAATGTCTTCCCCCGTTTCCTTGCCCGGGGGCGACGCCCCGAACATAACCTGCCTATTCACTCGACTAAACTGCCGATGAGAATCACGCGCACAAGACTATCAATAAACCCGGCCAGCCACGCAGGCCAGCAAACAACCGCCGCGAACCCGAGCCTCCCACACAACGACTCCTCACGACACACCTATCTACGATCCACGATCTCGAAGCAATCCACGTCCGAACACCTCGAGGCGCAGCGCGCGAATTGTAACATCCGGCGCGCCTACAATATAGCGCCCCGTTCGTTTACCAAGCGAGCGCGAGCACGGAATATAGCGAACCAATATAATACGTGCCGACTACAAGAGCGTACAGCTATAGGCCAAGCCACCGAAACCGTCGCGTTCGAACGCCGCGCATACTGCGCCTGCGCCAAAGTATAAATACTAAAACCAATGCAAGAATGCACTTTAACAACAAACCATCGATACTAAGGGATAAGGAATAATTAAAGATAACAACCGACCTTGACGCAGCTGCAGGGAAAATTAATAAAAATGCATAACCCGCAGACCCACGGAAAATTAATAAAAATGCATAACACCAACACAATGCATCGCCGCGTAACCATAAATGCACCCACCGGTCACAAAAGGCCCCTGAATGCGAGAGAAATCATCGCGAATAAAATCAAAGAGCACGTAACTTAGAAAAAGCTTTAAATAAACACTCGAATTCCACAAGCACAAAGCACGAAAAGATCCAGAACAATACGAAAGTTCATGATGAAAAAACACACAAAGAACAGATGCAAGTTCTGCCGCAACGGGCTGCAGTACGCGACGACTGAGCGCGCCAGTACGAACCTCGCGACCCCCGCAGCGAAATCAAAGGCACAAACTAACTAAAATCTAATCGTCATTAGAATAAATCGCTAATAACATAATCGGCATACAATAGAGATTTCGCAATAACGCGACGTGAACATCCCCTTACCGCGAGGGGCCATGATATTAACTATATATAAACGAGCGCGTACACAGACTCGGTTCCTATTCTTTCCCGTCCAAGCTAAAGCTAAGGTAGGAATACCGCGCTTAGATTGAGCGCAAGCGACTTCCCATGTAACTTCAAAATTCCGGCCTTAACCGTGCGCCTCCCCAGGCGTCGTTAAGACCATCTTTACCGGCGACTCCAAGCGCGGCTGTCGCAAGCTCGCCGAGGAACCACCTTCCCCGTGGAGCTCAACGAGCGCCTACATCGGCGTCGAGGCCTCCACAACCTCTTCCCCCTTTCTTTTGTCTTATTACGTTATATCAAAATAACAAAGTCGCGTAATTATAACATAAAGATAATAGAATCATAAAGTCATATCTCGCATTTTTCCCTTCCAGATCCTTCTCAGAAACGGAGAACGTAGATAGAGCGAGTGTATGATGACATACATATAGCTGCCCTCTTGAGAGATTATAATCTCCGTGTTACAAGTGCTTACAGCACGCTGGGGCGCTAATAATATCTGAAAACTCCTCTAATTCTAAAATTTAAAACTCTCTCTGAAGGACCTCGAAGGAGTTTAAGTGCTTACAGCACGCTGGGGCGCTAATAATATCTGAAAACTCCTCTAATTCTCCAATTTAAAACTCTCTCTGAAGGACCTCGAAGGAGTCAATACAAGATAAAAGTCTCCCCGCGAGACTCAGAATAATATTAAGATTTCGTGCCGATGCGAAAGGCACTGGTGACAGCAGCCTGCCCCAATACCGTTAGGATAATATCATTTCTGTAGAAGCTAAGGCTTCGCCCCACGCGCCAAGCTCCGCGCCCGCGTTCAACGAGATTTATGCCGCGTCTCGAACCACAACAGTCGCGACAAACACGCCAGTTCGGACGTAACAGAGCTTATTAGACTTCCTTGGAAATTCATGCGTTCTGGTTAAGAATTGGTGCGTCGGTTTCGTACTCGGACCCTCACGTATATCAAATACACTAAAAGTTCTTGAAGCGCCTAAATCTTCTGCTACTTCTCTGCCAGAAGCTAGCTTCGAAAGAGATCTATTGATTATGGCGGAAACGGCGCCAAGATATGCACAAGGTGGGCAAAAAACAACCTCCACCAAAACTGCGCTACCTACATCATCATATGTTAATGCTTGTATAACAGTAGAAGCTAGAGTGGAAGCCACAGCCATGTCACAATTCATTTTCCAGTTTGCTACTACCAAGCGCATAGAAGCACGTTAATCTAAAAATTAAATGCTTTCTAGAGCTTTAATTTTTTTCGTGAGTTGGCTAACCTTTCTAGATGCTGAGTTCAGTTTCAAGACGCCAAACTTTACACCACGCATAATTTCAGATTCAACCGTGCTCAACATTGCTCTCAAATTATTCGCGTGATTTTTTGCAATAGCGACCTCTAATTTCTTAGTAAAAGTCTTGATTCTACTAACTCTCTGTGTATTCCTTTCTGATCTTTTTAACGAAGCACGATGAGCCTTAATTGCGGACCTATGATTAGCCATAAAATTTATAAAGTTACAAAGTGTTAAATTGCAATGCACCAGAGGTAGATTATACAACGTTTCTGCTAGCGAGTCAAGATCACCTATACTGCATAATTGACATAATCGGTAAAGATATGATAGGCATCTGGTGAGATGAGTGTCACATATATCAGTTTTGTCTTGAAAAGTCCACATCATCGTATATGCCTCCGGTAGATGCAAAGAGTGGGTATTTAACTTCAGTACAGGCTAAGTTAGACTTCAAAAATTTGCGTGTCGTCAGAATACTCCTTATGTATTTTATGGCTAAAACGTAATAAAATTGGCATTGCAAACATTCTAAAAATTTGTTTATAATATCAACCAATTTTTAAAGTTTTAGCTATATCTCAAAAACTACCGTATACTATTAGACGTCTTTGGAAACTAGTGCATTTGGTGAGAATTGGGGCATGGATTTCGCATTTCGGATCCTCATGTATATCAAATACACTAAAGGTCCTCCCAAGCGCCTAAACCTACTACCACTTCTCTGCCAGTAGTTAGTTTCGAAATAGGTCTATTATATTCTAAAGAAAAATATATTTTTTTGTAGCTTTTATGTCTAAAAATGTGCCAAAAAAAGATATATTGGAGTGGTTAAGATTCCTGGAGGATGCAAAAATTAAGGAGAATAACAGTAGCTCAGCTAGAAATTTATTAATAAAATCAGATGCAGAAGATATAGAGTGTGTTTCAGTTAAAAAATTAAATAAATTAACAGATAATATAGCATTATATGAGCGTAATATTTATTCTGTTAGAGATAGCAAAGAACATAAAGAAAAATCATGCTTTAAAAGCGTGATATCTGCTACTAAAATTCTGAAAAAAGATAGAGACAAGTTGATCATTTCTCATAACTCATACCTGCCTCATAAAAAAATTAAAAGTATATCATCAGGAAAGTGCAGCATAGAGTGTTCAATTGATTTGCATGGATATGGTATAGAATCCGCATTTTATGTTTGAGCGATTTGTTACTGCAGCATATTTAAGCGAGCAGAGGTTACTTCCATGGTGTAAGAAACAAGGTGTGCTTATGCGCAGGCATTTCTATTGACCAATAAGAAAGCGTGACAAGTTTCCGCCATCTTATAAAATTATAGCGGGTATTTGAAATTGAGCAAGTTCTTAAAGAATGTATATAAAAATATTTATTATAAATGTATTTTGACAATACAAACATAAATGTAAACGGACAAAAGTAACAGACAATAAATATATACGTAAAAAATATAAATATATATTAAAATTATTTGGTAGTAACTCTACGGTTTGTAAATATAGACATTTTTTTGTTATACTTTCTTTTGTGATTGTCGGCCGAAATTTGTTAGTTAATTATTCGCACTCTGATGTAAGTTCGCGTACGAATTAAACATAATAATACTTCTCGTGGTATTGTCGTATTTATTATTTTTTCTTCTATTTTATTTGCAATTATTTTAAAAATCCCTGGACCTTTCTGAATGAAGTTCTCATGATAATTTTGAAATTCTTCGTTCATTATTTTTGCTACTTCCAATAATTAGAAGAAGGACTTATTAATTTTCCTTTTGAAATGTGGTTAATCCAGTCGTTTTGTGGATTAACTACCATTTCAGTCGAAATGCCTTAATGATTGTACTGTCATTTTTTGCATAGGATTCAAGGTCATCTTGATTTGTCCTGGCGTGAAAAAAGGGCTTAGCATATCTTGAAACTTTTTCTTCATCTCTTTTTTAAAAAGTTTATTCTTCCGAGCCAGTTGTTGTTGAAGAACTTTGTTTTTCAAAAGTAAATCTGCATTTTCCTGTATCAGTTGCTGTATTTTAGCATTATCATAAGAAACTTGCGATGAACCTTTACGATAGAAAAACATATTAGAAAATTAATTATTAGAATTAGGTATATTCACAATATTAAAAAATTAATGTTTAAAACAATAATAATATTTGTCCAGAAATTTGAAGTACTTATATGTATATAATATATTAGCGTGGAAAGCATAAATTTGAATTTCAACATTATTGATTATATAAGTATAAATTATTGATTATTATAAAATATGTAATTTTTGGAATGTTTTAATCAAAATGTAGTTAAATAACATAAAACTAAAAAAAAAAGAAATATATATATAAAATATAAGAAAAACATACCAAAATTATCATCTTTTCTAGAGCACTGTAACGCCCGCCGAAATTTGCGCGCAGGCGGACGTCACTCTCAACGATGCCAGACGCGTTGCCGTGGCAACGC